TATGGCCTGACAATATTAGTGAAGATAATCTGATGACCTGGTTTTCATTTGGACACTACTATAAGAAAATAAGAACGTGTATCTTTCCAAAAGCATGATCGAACTTGTTGTAGGTGGTTATTATAAGATGCCATCACATCACATAATTGTTTTCTGTAGAAAGTTCATCCAGGCAACTCACCCATCAAGTGAGCAGAAAGACTTGTAAATAATGTCCAGTGCTTAAAAATAGGGACTGTTGTGCTCATCCTTCTGAATGATATTGTGTAAATTAAATGTTACATTGTTGTGAAGTCCTTAATACTTCTATTCTACATATTCACTGAGATCAGGTCCTAGATGTTCTAGCAGAATCTATCTAGTGCTTTCATAGGAAATTTTCTCAACTCCACCTTCAGAAATATTTTTTATTTTCATTCCTCATGTTTTCAACCAATTATTCTCTTTACTTGGTATGATTGCAGCTGGTTTTTATGAGTTTCAAAAGCCTAAAAAACCCATTAAATATTAATAACTTTAAAAGTAGCTTTTCATCGTCCCAGTGATTTTCTTATTCAGCATTAATGTTCCATTTCCTATTTTCTGATTGTCCTAAACTCATCACATATATATATATATATATATGTCTATACATATATATATATCCTGTTCGTGCAGTCCCAGGGGTTGAGTCTGGAGGACATGCACCTGCGTAGGGGAAGTACCTTTCTGCATGCCAGATATGCTGGTTTAGAGGTGTTGAGTCCTGCTTGGCATATCAGGAGAGGGGTAGCTGGAAAGGGGGCAGCCTGTCTCCCCTGAGCTTGCCCTCGCCCAAGGACTGCACAAGAACCTCAGAGATAAGTATATATATATGTACATGCAATATACAAACCCATGCATATGCATGGATATTTTATGCCAGCACCTGTGTATGCACACATATTTGTGTACATATGTATGCAGAGTGTATATGTGTACATACAGTTTGTATACAGACGTATGCATGCGTATATATGCTGGTATACCTATGGGCACGCAATCATCACTTAATTATCCTTCGGGAGGAGTTTCCAGCCGGGAACCCCAGTCTGCCTATGGCTGAGGGAAGTGTCCGTCGCCCCTCCCGCCGCGAAGGCATTGCCGGGGCTGAGGCAGAGCCCAGCAGCGCCCCCGGCCCTGTCAGCTGCTGCAGGGGGAGGGAGAGGGACCCCAAAGGGAGCACTGCCACCCTTGAGGCTATTCTTGCTGCGTGCTCACAGACACAGGTGACACTCCCACACACAGCCATCACACGGCGAGGGTCCCTCCTTGGAGGGAGGAGAAGGGAAAGCAAGCAAGCCTTTCCCCCGTTTCTCTTTGTTTGTAATTGGGAAAGACTTCAAGCGCAAAGTCTTAAAAGCCTCCTGAGGTGCTTCGGAGCAAAGGTAAATTCACCTCACGATAGAACAGAGAGGTAAAACAGATTTGCCTGCGACACGAGTAAAGAAGGGGTCATGGCCCCATTAGTCCCTGTGTTGAGGCGGGTAAATAGCCCGAGGGAATGATCTCCACCAGCCCAGAGACGGGGCTGCCTTTGTCTCTTCCCCTCCGGGCGGCAGCGGGCTCTTGCCGAAGGGGCGAGGGAGAGGGCGGCGAACAAAGGAAAGAAAGCTCTGTCACCGCAGTCCTGCCCGTAACGAGGGTGCCCGGCACCCCTGCCCGGCCCGAGCAGGCTCCCCTGAAGGGGACGCTAAATAATTAATAATAATGGACTACCTGCATGCATTGGGAAGCGAAAGCGGGCGCATCCCTTGCTTGCATCCTGCCCCTTCCCCTATTTGCGCTGTAATCCTATTCCACCATGTGCAGATAGATGAAGGGACGTAATTCAGCCTTCAGGCCTGGGCGGGGTTCTCGCCGTTTAATCTTTTCCTTTCTCTTCCCTTCGCTGCTTTCTTCCCTCCCCTCCCTCCCCCTTTCCATCTCCCAGGCCCAGTGAGGTCAGCTCATGAATATTGCTTCATTTTCCTGAGAGGCTCTGGCAGCGGCGGGTACCTCGTGTGCGGTGCCCGGCTCTCCGTGCATGCATTTCGCCAGCCGGGCAGCGGACAAAGTGGTGGTGAGTAATGCAGATGCTTTAGATCCGAGCTCTTTTTTTTTTTTTTTTTTTTTTTTCTCCTTTTTTTTTTTTTTTTTTTTTTTTTTTTTTTCTTTTTTTTTTTTTTTTTTTTTTTTCCTTTTTTCTTTCTTTTTTTTTTTTCTCCCCAAAAAGGAAATATTACTCCTGATCCAGATGCAATAAACCCACCAGGTATGAGGATGAACCTTCAAAAATCCCCCCCCGCTCCTTTAAACCAGGACAAAAGGCAGAAGCACTCCCAAATCTTAAGCCGCGTTTGCGAATTCTCGGGGGGCAGAGGCGGGCGGGCGGTGGGACGAAAGGGCCAGGGCTGGGGGGATGCTCTGCCCGAAGTTCCGGGCACGGGAGAGCCCTGCGCCGGCGCATGGAGCCACTGGACTACTCCCCTTTGTTGCTTCCATTTATTTAGCCTTTTTTCCGCCTGGACAGCTGTTCCCGGCAGGAAAACCTGCGGAGACGCCGCGTCCCGGCGCCACGTGGGTTTGCCTCTGGGGAGAAGGTCGAGCTGCGGAGTTTTGTGAGGACAGAGATTTCGGACTTGGTCTCAAACGGGGCTTTCGTTGTGCCAGTTAAAAATGTCTATAAATATATGTATATATATATATATCTAAAATCAGCCAATTTAGCTGTAGGCGGTAGCCAATCTTGGATTTTGGGGCATGCAGGGTAGGGGTTGTGTTCTGGCAGGTCGCGGTTGAGTCTGATGTCTTAGCTGCAGTGAAAGTTCCCTAAAAGATTCAGGTAGAGCATAGGGCTCCCAATGATTAATTTAAATTACATTTCTTATATTTCATACCTGTATAGCTCCAAACAACCGTGGGGTGAGAATTCTGTTTGTGGTGGCTAATAGAAATGCAAAACAAATCGTTCATAAAGTGTTGCCATACAAGTTTTATAGCTCTACATTCCCATGCTTTCTTTTTACTAATTAATGCTTGGGATGTGTCTGCCAAATTGTGTCATTTTGAACATTAATTTCCAGAATATTGGTTTAAATCAGGTTATTAATGACAGTGCATTTGAGAGGAAATGATGTACTCCTCCTGCCAGTGAGAGCAGAGCAAACACAGCCTCATTGTCTAGTATGTTCCAGGGAGTAAACCAATTGTCAGGGCACGGTATAGTCTCTACATTGATTTTGCCCAGTCGTGCTTTATTCTTTATTCCCTGTTCTAGCAGGGAATGGTTAAACCGTGTTCTAGGAGGGAATGGGCAGGCCATGTTAGGAATCCTGTCATTTCTACTGTTGCCCATGTTTTCTCCCTAAGGAGAGTTGAATAAAGGCTGTGTGAAAACAGTTTGTGAATCATAGCCATTATTTTCAGAATATATTGGGGACATTAGCAGTGTGATATGGCTTTTAACAGCCCTTTTTCATAAACTGTTGTGGTCATGAAAACTCTGGTTGTGTCATTGTAAGGGCAAATGGCTAAGTGAGCATCCTTCAGAGAATGCCACATAGCATTTTGCTCTTGGTGAGGGTGTATTCTTTGCTTCCTCTGTTTTGAAAATCTGCTGGAGTGGTTATGTCTGAGTCCTATATAACCTATTGATCTGCATAACTGCTAACAAACATGAATCCGTCTTAAATCTTGACAGCACCTCTGGATAACAAATGTGGCAAATGTGTGTTTAGAAGCTGATTGTAGAACCCCTTTCCTTTATGACCCTCGATTCCCGAGTCACCTTGCCCCGGAAGAGTCGCTGTCAAAGCTGAAGGGAAATCTGTTGTTGCTCCCACGTGTGCAGCCCTTTGTACAGTAGCTTTCCCCCACTCGGCTGTGATAGACACTGGGACGAGGCCTTTTAGCAGGCAGACAGGTGCATTAGCAACCCAGGCCTGGCGGTGAGGACAAGGGAGAGGGAAGTTTGCGTGTGGAAGGAAATTTATCCTTGCGGGGGGAAGGTTCGGCATCGGTGCTGGGGAAACGCCCCTAGGTGCAGGCGGAATGGAAACTGGTCTCAGGCTTAGCGGAGCGCTTCGGACCCTTCCATGAGGAGCTCCGGTTGGCTCTGGGCTGCGGCCTCGGCCGGATTCTCCCCGGCCGCTCCGGGGGACCGCTCCGCCCTCAGGTGTGCGCGGGTCAGGGCTGGGGGCCGGGGAGGGCTGGGGGCCGGCGGGGAGCGGCCAGGCTGGCCGCGGCCGTGGCCGGAAAGCCCGTCTCCCCGTCCTCCTCGTCCACCCCGTCCCGACCCCGACCGCTTCTCCGGTTCTCCTCCCCCAGCTCTCGGGGCGGCGGCGGCGGAGGAGGCGGAGGACACCGCCGGTGATGGACGCTTCGCCGAGATAGCCGCCGCCATGAGCCAGCCGCCTGCAGGGGGCGCCGCCGCCGAGCCGCGCCTGCATCCCGAGGGCAGCAGCGGCAGGAAGCAGCCCCGGGCATCCTCGCCGGCCCGGGCCCGCGACGCCGCCCCGCGCCCGCCGCCCAGCGCCGCCAAACCCGCTCCCGCCGCCGCCAAAGCCGCCTCGGCGCGACCGCCGCCCGGCCAGGCCCCCCGAGCCGCCCGCGGCCGCGCCGCCGAGAAGCCGGGGCGGGGAGCTGTCCAGCCCGGCGCCGGTGCTGAACCTCCGCCCGCCGGGAGAGGAGGAGCCGCCGCCGCCGCCGCCGCCGAGGAGCCGCTGCCGCCGCCGGGCGCCGCCGAGGAGGCGCCCCCTGCAGGGGGCGGCGGGGCAGAGCGGGAGGGGGCGGCGGCGCCGCCGCCCAAGCAGTGGCGGGGGAAAGCGGGGCGGTCCCCGCTGAAGGGCGCGGGGGAGGCGGCCCCGGCGCCTCCATCTTCCTCGGGTGCGGGGAAGGGCCGCGGTGCTGCGGCGGGCGGCGGCGGGTACTGGAAGGAGGGATGCCTGCAAAGTGAGCTCATCCAGTTCCACCTCAGGAAAGGGCTGGCGGCGGCCGCCCAGATGCAAACCAAGGGCAGCAACCACGGTAGCAGCAGCGGCAGCGCTTCCTCCGCTGCCTCCTCCGCCTCCGCGGCCGCCGCCCCGGCCGAGCATCCCCCGGCCGCCTCCGCCTCCTCGCCCGCTGCCATGGCGGCGGCCGGGGCGGAAGGGCTGCGGCAGGGCGAGACGGAAGGCGACGGCAGGAGCTGCGGCCCCGAAGGCGCCCTAAGCCCCCACCTGCAGGAGGAGATGCAGGAAGAGATGGAGAAACTGCGGGAGGAGAACGAGAGCCTCAAGGTGAGGGGCCGGGGCGGCGGCGTGGGTGGGGGAGAACCAGGGCCGGGCGGGGACCGGGCTGCCTCCCGACGGGAAGACCTTCCCGGCCTCCTTCTGTCGCGGCAGGAGAGCTGAAGGCAGCGTTAAGATGGCTCTGTCGTGGGGCGTGCGGGCAGTGCCACTTCCCTGCTTCGTTGCGGTATTTATAATGAGCTGGATTGTATTTACCTGCCGTCCCTGCGGGTCGGAACTCCATTTTGGCTGCCTTCCCCTGTACGTGCTGACATTTGTGCTTCTGACCCACCTGTTGCATCCCTGTCCCCTTCTTGCCCCCGTGACAGAACGAGATAGATGAGCTGAGGACAGAGATGGACGAGATGAGGGACAGCTTCTTTGAGGAAGATGCTTGTCAGCTTCAAGAAATGCGCCATGAACTGGAGCGAGCCAACAAGAACTGCAGGATCCTTCAGTACCGGCTGCGCAAGGCTGAGCGCAAGAGGCTCCGCTACGCCCAGACCGGCGAGATCGACAACGAGCTCATACGCAGCATGGAGCAGGACCTCAAGGTACAGACGTGAGCAGGTGTCAAGGGAAGGGAGTGTCTGAGATGTAGGCATGACTGTGCTCTTGGTCCTCATGACTCAGGCGTTTCCATCCATTCCGCTGTGCAGCTCGTGGAATAGCAATTGCCAAGCTATTCTGTAACAGGAGCCCTTACTGTATGTAGATAGGCTGTTTTCAGCTTCAGTTCTATCATTTTTTGTAAAGGTAATGTGCAAGGAGTTACTCAAAAGTAAATTAGGAGCTGAAGGTTCTGGACTCTTTATGATGAATGCAAAACATACCTTTCCACTGCAAAATTAAACCAACCTCACTAAACAGCCCCATTGACTTTGAGGGGATTTTGCCACTCTTTATTGAAAGATTTTAGGGGGCAAGCAAGTTGAATACTTGCAGTCACAACACTAAATCTTCACTCTGTTGCCGTCAGTAAAAAAGCTGTTGTTAAGTTCAATGAATCTGGAGTTTTTCACATCCACCTGAAACCTTAGACAAAACCCATCAAATTTCAGTGTGTCATCAACTGCATTTCATGCATAAGATCTGAATGAACCACAGCCTCTTGCTGAGGAAGTGTTTCAGTCCTTGTTTAAAGATTGTCATTGATAAAATACCCATCAGCTCCATTCCAGATTGGTCCAATTACACAGGAAAAAAACCTCTTTCTAGACACAATTGGAAGTTGACTGGTCTCCCAGTCAACTGACCTTTTCTCATGGAAGTGCAGACCTCTGTATAACAAGTGTGAGCTTTATTGGCCACACTTCTGCCTAGGACTCTAGTTATGGCACGTGGACTCTGTGGGCTACAGCGTAAAATGTGGATTTAATACATGATTATGAACAAGGTTATTTTAAAATTTCTTTTTGATAAATATGATGTTATTTGCAGGCCTGCTATGGATCATCTTTTCTGAAAGTTTTCAAGCTTGTCATCGCTATTATTAAAATTTCTATTTGATATTTCTTTTCTGTGCATATTCAAAATCCACGTTTTCTGTTGTGGCTGTGACAGTTCTATAAATACAGGTGCTGATGTGGTTCTTGGCAAAATAGTCTCCCTGATCAGAAGCAAAATCACCCCCTTTTCATGGGGATTTCTGTTTGAAACAAAGGATATTTTGCACACTCAGAATGATGCTTAGGTGATCAGCTGAGACACATTTGCAGGCAGAATTTGAAGGTGGGCCTCCATATCCCAAGTGAATTGTGCTTCTGGTTTATAGAGTTGGCTTCTTTGTTGGCTCAGTGTTACTTTTATTAGCAAGTCATACACATGCAGGTTGGGGAGGGAATTGTTGAGGGCACCTTTGATGAGGTGCTTGTCTGCCAATATAGGAGGTAGAAGCTAAGGTCTTGGATTTAGCTACACAAAGAGCTTGCTTTAATTAGCATTTATCCCATGTTTCCCAGTATGTCTGACTCTTTGGAAAGGAGCAGTGTTGTTGCAGAGTGTTCTCATCGTTCATGAATGTGTTCTGCTTTGGAGTAGAGATGAATATCTAATGCTAAATTTCTGCCTAATAGAGTTTTGGGTGCTGGCTAACCATCATTATAACTCATATGAGGTTTTCTGTAGTGTTTCCAAGTCCTCTTCTGAAGAAAGACTGTCCAAATTGACACTGTTCATTTTTCATTGTTCATTTTGCAATATACTAGGGAACTTGATCCTTTAGAGATACAGTCTTGCAGATAGCTGTATTAAAATGTATCTTGCATAAGTGAGTCCCATTTCTCATGTGATCTAGAATGCTCTGTATTTTATTTCTGTATTAATAGCTATTCCACTAATTTTTTTGTCAAAAAATTAGCTACCAATAATGACATTACAATTTAGTTTTATTTACTGATCCAGACTGTATCTGTAGACTGAAGACAGGTTCCGTTAGGGTGCTGTTTTAAATGTCCCCCATGATTTTCCGTTTACTTTAGATGGACAACCAGATGAGCAGTTTAATACTAAGTGTAAGAAAGACATCAAGCTAAAGCCCTGTGGTGTGTTTCTCAGCTCATTTTGCAGTCTCTTTGGACTGTGGCTATAATTGAAATTCCCCTCCATTCGCTCTTTCTGTTGGGCATTATGTGTCTTGAGTGCATGTGCGGTGGGGGAGGTTATTGAATGATCTTGTGCTACTCTGCAGTGTTGTATCTGTAATTCACACACACTGGGTTTCTTGTCAAGGAAGGCTGAGTCACTAGCTGCTGCTGTTTTCTGATAGATTGGATCTTTCTAGATGCTTGCTTACAGTTATTATTGTTTTTTCTCTAGAGTTTTAGTATGTCAAGGAACTTCTGACATACTAACATAAAGATAGTTTGAGTGAAAGCCATGAAGGATAGCTTGCTGAACTCCGCTAGCTAATGCTAAGTAGGATTAATTATGCTTTCAGTGTTCCAAAAAAAGCAGGAAATGAGGCTTTTCAAACTATGTGTCTGTGTGTCTAAATCACCATCAACACAGTGATTAGTGTATATTTAAATATTTTTGGTGTGTGATTATAATTTCTGGTGGTTTCACAAAATATAGTGCAAGTGGCTTGCAGGGCAAGATTCTCTTTACTTTTCCTGAGGAAGACGATTAGATCTTATCATTTGCCTTTTAACTCTATTCCTGTGAAAATGCATTAAAAAAACCTCAAACAACCAAAAACCTTAGTGTTCATTTTAACTGAAAATAGCGGACATCATTTGTGTGAACACAACGTCAGTAAAAATGTTTGTTTGTTTGTATTCTAATCTTAAAATGAGCCAATAGAAGTAAATATTTCCATTAATTGTTGACCTAGGAGAGAGAAACTATCAGTGTCAAAATAAACATGTACCCATTTGTGGTCACAGCTAGACACAGGTAAGGAAGGCCTGGAGAAGATGAGCCCTGCTTTTAGATGCTGTTGCATGCCAAGTATTCAAAGTGCATGTGCTTTAGTGCATTGAAAAGCATAAGCTAGCTGTGGTTAAGAGAAGATAGATGATGCACTGTCTCCAGGAATAGTGAAGGTCCTGTTTAACTGTTGATGTGAAGGCACTTAAGAAGGAGTTGGGGTTTAATGTCTGATGTGGCTTCTAATGAAGTCCATAGGGATAATGTACCATTTTTTGGAAGGAATTGGCTTGAATTTGAAATTATTTAGAATTTTGTCTATGGATGTCCTTGTCTACCTGTTTCTTTACACACCTCTTCCATCAAAACACCCAGAATTAACTTTTAAATGGTTGCTTAGGCACTAAGCACTGCAGCAGTAAATTTTTTTTAACCAGTGTTTTGATATACCGTTTCATTTAGGTTGCAAAAGATGTATCGGTGAGACTTCATCACGAGTTAGAAAATGTGGAAGAAAAACGTACTATAACAGAAGATGAAAATGAAAAATTAAGACAGCAGCTTATAGAAGTTGAAATTGCCAAACAAGCACTACAGAATGAACTGGAAAAAATGAAAGAGGTTAGTGTTGTTACTTACTTCTACACAAATTATTTGAAGATCATAGATTCTTACTGATGAACTGTTTTTCTTCTACAACTTGTTTTGGGGGCAAACAATATGGCAGTTGAAAGTTGAAAGGAGTGCTAAAGTACAACTTGATGATTGAGAAGCTAAAAAAAACCTAAAATGTTTCGTGTTTTCTAGGCAGAACAGGAACCAAGTGGTGCCTTTTTTCTCTCTCTACTATTAGGAGGGAAATGTGAAACTAGTGGTAACGAGTTCAGAGGCTTTGATACATTGTACCTACATAAATATTCATATAGGAGGTATGGTCAGGTATGCTCAGGTATGTCAGAGGCATCTAACTTTACAGATGATGTTTCCCACGGGTTTTTACAAATACCAATAGTTTTTCCCTTGCTAGCTACAACTAGGGACTAGCAGACACACTGAGACTGGGGATCTAGCCACCTCCCCATCTTGTTCAGTCATGCTCTTGGAGTACTGGAAAGTGAGAGACTCTACCTGGCTTTTCAATCTAAGTGTAATTTTTCATTGCATCTAATTAATCTTCAAAATTACTCCAGCTGCCATTATATAGATGGAAGATACTGTTCCATTAAGTAAGCAGAAAATTGCATTACAGCAGTAATAGCCTGGCTGACAGAGATAACAAAGCAGTAGTAAAAGGAAAAACTGTTGACTAAGAATGACTTCTCAGAAGAGATTTTTAAAACTGCTCTCCTGTTTCCTGTCCAAGATTTAAAATTCAATGAATGCCCCCAATTTTCACTTTTAGGAGTATACCCTAGTAGGAACACCAGTGTCCTCTTTGGTCTTGTATGAAGCATAAGAGATGTAATTCAGTTATCAAGAAAGGCAGGAAATTTTCAGTTGTATGATATTAGGGCATTTTTAAGAACTGCAACTGAATCCTTTATTATAGTATTAAAAATATTAAAATATTTTCTTTACAGGAACTGAGTTTCAAGCATATTAGTATAGGTTAAACAGGTGGTTTGTTCCACTTTCTGCTGCTTTCCCAGATAACTGCTGATTTTAAAAGGGCATGAAAAAAATCTGAGCCTTAGTCAGGTTTCCCCTCATCTCCCTGAAACTTCCATCTTATGTTTTCTCTCTGGTTACTGTCATTAAATAGAGCTTGGTTTCCTGGACTAGCCTCTTGATGAGAGCATGATCTGTCTGTAATTATCATTATAACGTGTCTTTAAGATTGGCTTTACTCCCAACTCTTTTGTTGTTCTTGTTCATTCAGACTCTGCATTCTTTTAGGTTCTCATCTCTGATTCCTCCTCTCTAATAGGTTATGCTGCTGTAAAATTCTTTTGCCTTGCTTTTTTGAAGAGTCTTCAGATTACAGTGATGTTTAGTGGCAATTTAGTAGTTTGCATTCTTCGGTATTAAGCCAGTTAATGGACTTCTTCATCCCTGTCATCACTGGTCACTTTCTCCTTATCGTGGTTCTTTCCTCTGGCCCACTATGCAGAACTACGATTCTATTGCTCCCACACTGATCTTCACTTCTTTCTTTGGCTCAAGTGTTTAGCCCTTTCTGTTTTTGCTGTTGGTATTAATGAAAGGGTGCTGGAGACTCCAGAAAAGATGGTGTCGTGTTTAGGGTCTCTGTTACACAATAATGTTTTTCATGAAGCAGAAGCAGATGGATGATTCCCAGTGGCACAGAATGGGGGCACTAAGCCAGAAAGCATAAAATAAGACTTGACACCATAGTAGGGGTGGAATGGACAAAGAGTCAGAAATACATCCTTATACTAAAGTAGGGAGAACTGCCTTGCACAGTCATTATATGTATCATCATAATTAGGTAGGATTTATGTATTTCGAATAGGCTGCTGAGTTGCTTTCAGCAGGTGAATGCTGCTTTTCAGGCCAGGACTTTCAGCACAGCATGGGGGAAGTTGGAGGATAGTTGAGGAGGTGCAAGTCAGAGAAAAACACGTTTGAAGCAAAGCTAAATTATTAAGAACTTTGCAAATATACTGTGACTTGGGGCACCCATGGAAACATGCTGGTTAAGAAAACTAAATCTTACAGAATTGAAATTTAGAATCTGTGAAGAAATTATGAAAACGTTAATACAAAAAAACCCATGAAAACAACCAAAAGCAGTCTGCATAAGAATTTTTCTGTGACAAATAATTTTTCTTCTTTGGCAATTGAAGGTTTCATGCATTTTAAATGTCATTGTCAGATAGTCAAAATGTTAATTTTCTGTTTGCTTATGAGTTATTTCCTCTAATTTCATGGATTTACAACCTTTTCTCATTTCAATACAGCCATTATAACCTACAGAACCTCCTACTTAAGGGAGTTTTACTCAGCTTACATTGAAATATGGGGAAGATCTTTTGTCTGGATTGTGATCTTTGGTTTATTGAACTTAGAATTAATGGGAAAGTATCTCTCTAAAGACAAAGAAACCTTTTTGTTTCACAACATAGTAAAAATGCTTGGAGATGTAATGGTTGATATCTGTACTTTTGTCATCAGATGTACTTCAGAAACCCAAAACTTTCCATTCTTAAAATCTATTTATGTAAAACTACCATTTGAAATGTCTTATTCTTTTATAATGAACAGTGTGAGATAACAGAGAATTAAAATAAGACTTAATAGAAAATGTAAAAAAGAAAGAATTTTGTTTGGTAGGTAGTCTCTAGGGCAGGACCAAAGCCAAAGTTCCCTCTGTGTGGATTCTCTGTTGTTTCAAAAAGCATGGAGATTTGACTGAAAACATGTAGGAAAGATAAAAGCTACCAGATGTATTGGTTTAAAGTCAAATCTGGAGTTCTCCAGTGAACATTTGAGTGAATATAGACATGTGAATGTATTTGTCCATTAATATAAAAATTGCTGTTTGCCTTCTTGATTGGCAGCTTTTGGAAAAAGAAAATTCTGATAAATTCCACAACAAGTTAGAAATTGTTGTTGATGCCAGCAGAAGCTTGCAAGCATCCAGGATTTGGAAGGTGTTCCAGCAACCTATACATTTTCTATCAGTTACTTTTGCTGTCAGTCCCCCAAACTGCATCTATTTGATTGAAAGTATTCCTGCATATGCCCACACAGACACACAAGATTTTTAATCTCTGTTGGTTTTATTTGTAGCAACTGCTGGTGATTTCTTCTTTAATATTGGTTGCTATCAACTGTAATGCTTTTTGGGAAGCTGAAAACAAAGTAGAGGAATTGTTTCCTAGCAGGAAAGAGAAACCAACTGTAGCTAGACGTTATTTTTCAGATATTAAAATATTAACATGTTATAAATAATAATGAACATGTTGTTCATTGATTAATTAATTAGCTTCCATTAATTTGTTGTTAACAGGTAAAGCCTAGCTAATGCTTGTAGACCTTTCTGTTATCATGAACTAAAAATTAATTTGTTTACTGTAGCTACATAGCAAACCCCAGTTAGCTGTGCTTTAGTGGTTTGTTGTGAGACCAATGAAGTAGGGGGAAAATATGATAGCTGTACTGGACCCTGGGCTTTATAGATCCTTGTTGCAATGCAGATGTACAATTGCAAGAAGCACAGTGTTTTTGGGGACGTGTGTCTCTCTGGATGGGTATACATTGCTCTGCTACTGCTCCAAGCTGGGCAGATTCAAGGCAGCTCAGTTCTTATGGCCAATTTAGGGTGATGTTGTCAAGCCACTATTTTCTTCTTCTAAGCATAGACTTTTAGTTCAGACCCAGAACCTGATAACCATGGCACACGAACCAGAGATGTCTTTTGTCCCTTCAGTTCTGACTGCAGGCAGAGGAGTCTGTGCCTCCCTACATGGGTCTGTGCTTTGCTGTAGTGGTGCTTGTCAATCTGGTTCATACTCTGCATGGATACAGAAGAAGGCAAGAGGATCTGGGGAACTGAGCACTGAGCTGAAAGGAAGAATCTGAATTCTGTTCCTTACTTTGACACTAATCTGCTGTGGGACCACAGGAAAGCCTTTACACTTTTCTGCTTACTCTTGCAACCTTTGCCTGCTGTGTTTAAGCACAGATTAGCTCTTTATATATCTCTGAGTGTTCAGGCTGCATAGATATCAGACAGATAGCTGGAAATTTCACCACAAAAGCTGCTGTAAAAAAACCCCAAACAACTTCAAATTCCTACTTCCCGCCCCCCCTCCAAAAAAAGACAAAACAAACCCAACCAGAAAACACCTCAAACCAACAAACCCACACTGCAAAAGGTCTGGTAAGATTCTGTGCTAGTCCTCTTGATCATCAATACCAGCTTGTCTCACTTTTCTCAGATGAAAATCCGGTATCTCTTCTTTCTCATAACCCTTTCTTTCTTTAAGCCCATTCTTCTGCCATTTAGCCACAACCATTTATTTCAAGTCTTTCTTCTATAACTCACAGAGTCTCACATTCTCCAGATTCTTTCACTCAGTCTTGATCGTGGGTTTCCTTTTCCTTTTCCTTTTCCTTTTCCTTTTCCTTTTCCTTTTCCTTTTCCTTTTCCTTTTCCTGTTTTTTATATTTTTCTTTTTCTCTTTTTCTTTTTTACTTTTTCTCCTCTTATGTCTGATGGTAGTGGTTTTTTTGCTGTCTTCTGATTTCTAAGTCCCAGTCTTGTCCTTCTCTCCCACCATCCCTTCCTTTCTTGCATCCCTCCAACTCTTCAAGAGTGTCCAATCTCCTATCTGGATTTCAAGAGTTTTCTAGTTCATTTTGCTCTTATTCTGCTTGAAATATATTATCTCCATTTCTTAGCTACAGCTCCTATCTGCTGTGAAATTTTTACTTTTTCCCTAGTTCCTCCACCCCCTCATGCAAATCTGTCAGCTTCCTTGATTTGTTCTGTTCCTTTCCTTGCTTCCAAGCCTTAGCTCTTCATTTTTGCATCTGGACTGAGATCAGTGGAGGATCACTCACTGTGCTAGGACAGAGCAGTTCTATCACTGTGAGCACCTGAAGGAAGGCTTCTGGTTCTAATGCCTGGCTTCAGCTTTATCCAGACCCTCATG